AGCACAACTCTGTTGACTAGAAACACATAATTGAAGTGAGAAACACAGCAAAACAGGGTACAGAGATGTACAGCCTTGTCAATAACTGAACCGCAACACAATATATGTATATTGCAACCCCCATATGCATTTTCTACAGTGAAAATAGATATGAGGCAATGCTTGTTTCTACAGCCTTGGTAAACCAAGATTTGGCCACACTAAGACACTTCTACCAAGCTTGCATCTTGCTTTCTTCCATTTAGAAGTGGCACAGACAGAAGACTCTGGCAATACCTTCCAGCATTTTAATATAGAAGCATTTCAGTGGGACATCAGTTTTCTAACCTATGGAGCTTGTCAAGACACTTGTTGAGGGATGCTGTGACCTTTTAAAATGTATTTAAAGCATCATATCACACACCTGTCCAACTTCCCAGGTATACATCTTGAAGGACAGCTTCTACAGTGTGTCTTAGAAGGCCATAAAGCAAAAGGATGCTGGAAAAAAATGCCCTTGGAAATCAATGAGAACACCCTGTATACTGGCCTTAAATCTACAAAATGCAACATACATTCAGCAATATATGTTGGTTCTCTGACCTCAGGCATTGCCCATTTCAAAACCCATCAGCAACACATATGATCAGCTGTCATACTTCTAGAACAAGGTCCTCTTACATGGATACTGCATGTTTGTAGTCATTTGCTCACTTCTGAAAATGTTCAAGTGATTTGAGAGATGTTTCATGGACTTTTATATCCTTATTCCATGGAATACATAAACCTAGTAGGAGGCAAGATTCATTTAAAAATAGTATTCTAGAAATACTCATTTTATTTTTCTTAGTCTGTCTGAAATTAGCCACAAACATAAGAGAAACTTCTCCTACACACACACAGCATATCCCTGTAACTGAAAAAAGCCCTAATTCATAATAAGATATCAAGAGTTCAGAAAATACTGTTAGACCTCAGCCCTCTCTATCTGCTACCACACAGATTTATCCTCTACAGAACACAAAGCAAGCAGCAAGGCATAAATGTCTCCAGCTTGTGACTGTACAACAGGGATCCAATGCAGAGCTGCAGAACATCAACAGCAGCTTCAAGCTTCCATCCTTTCGGTCCAAGGTGTATTCATGTTGCCTCCTTGTGCTTTCAGGTCCAAGTAAACCTCGAGGAGAAATGGCTTTAAAGGTATACTGAAAAATTAAATGGCCCTTTTAATACCCAAGAGGGTTATTTTCCCTGCAGTCAGTATCAGAGTTGAAGATGTGAACTAAGCAATACTTACACTTGGTCTTTCCCATCACACTTGATAACCCAACATTTAAGGAAACCATTTGTGGAATAAAATGATCCCCTTCATTGGAAGGGCCAAAGAAACTACAGTGTCCTTCATGTAGCACCAAGCCAGTAGTAATTCTCCATTTATTAAGGTCAAAGAATGAGCTACTCAAATGGAGGAGAGCAGCTTTTCATCATCACTTGTGGTATTTAAACTTCTACAGAGCTGGCTCCAGTAAGTCAATTCCCATCTAGGAAATGCGTTACTCACTGTTTCATGTGGCAGGCTTGTGATTCTTATTTAATTCCTACCCACCCCTGCTCCAGAAATTATACATTTAAAGACTGGGACAACATTCAACAAGCAGCTGTGCATACCTCAAACTACTTCATCTACACAAACAAAAGGGTCAATACAGGCAAATAACAGAATGACATGCTAAGAGGTCTGAATCAAACAGAGGTCTACAAATTCAGATGATTAATTCAATTTGCTTAAGTTTTCTTTACTTGTTCAGTAAATTTCAGTATCACAACCTGGCCCTTTAACATGTATTATCCTCTCAGAAACCAAAAAGCAAATGGCCAGAGATTGTGTTTTCTGTCATTTGACAGCAACATTATTTTAAGTGAGGAGCTAAAGCAAGCTTGTGTCTGTGCAGTCACAATCCTCAATACTGCTGAGGTACCTGCACAAGCCTGTTGCTATTTTCACGTTTGACAATACAACTTGGCACCGATACTGCTGGTGCATGTGTACTACCTACCCTTCCGTTTTCCCCTTTCCTCTTTTTCCCTTCCCTGCAAGCAGCTGAGAAATACAGCTCCTGAGTACCTGGGATTAGTGAAAACCTGGGCTCACACAAAGAACAGCAACTGATCCCTTGTTGAGTATTTTCCAAGGGAAATACTCAAGTGCTATCCCCATCTCTACAGCACAGTCAGTTTACACTGGAGTTCCCAACACAACTTCATGAAGTGTTTTTCTTCTAAACAAAACAAACCCTCTTACTGACAGCTTGAAGAACTACAATACAAGGTAAAGCAATGTTTCTTCCCACAACACAGCAGCGATACTTTAACCAGTAAGACTCAGATCAGCTTTGATCAAAGAACGAGTGGCAGTGTATTTAAGCAAAAATAACTTGTATTCAAATAATCATTAGATGTCAAATTAACTTTTGAGTCATTGCCCTTTACATGTCAGTGTAAAGATGTCAAAGATGACAATCAGTGTTCTCTCCTCAACATAATGTCCTGTTTCTTTTTAAAGTAAAATATTCAATAAACACTTCACCATTTTCCTTGAAGTGCAGGTAAAGGGGGAAGGAGGGATTTTATCCATGTGATACTGAAAAAGACCCACAAATATCTTTTAATTCTTTTTTAAGTCAACTGGGTTCACAAAAGTTGGTTGAAATGAAACACAACAAAGACCTTCTCAGCAGCTATTGCCTTGCAGTTGCCTTTTTATCAACAGGAACATTATTACACAATGAAACCCTTCAATCTACCAGCGTTGAACAGAACATATGATCAGAACAAACCAATTCTAGTTTCAAAAGCACAACTTCCTTTTGCTATTACAGCAACAATCCAGATCCCAAACCACATCTATATATGAAGATTCCAGCTGGAACAAGACAGTTCTTCACAAACCCCATCCCTTTTTTTGCAGTATACTGAATAAAAGATTGCCTATATCTTGCAATGTAAGAACAGTGCAACAGAATCTTTTATTGCTGACTAGGAAACAAATTCCACATGATTCAAAACAAAGACTTGTGCCCTTGTTCAAAAACAGTCAGGTAAGTAAGTAGTATCAGACACTAATCATGTCCATACAGTTCAAGTCTGCTTCCTTGTGTACAAACACAAGAAAAACAAAGCACTAGTTTTCTGCAAAACTAAGCCTTACTCACTGTGAGCCTCTTTAGGCAAGTGAAATGTAGGCAATGGTTGTGCTACGGTGAATAGCTATGTCATGAAGTTAGCTCAGTAAGGAAGGTTCTGCAGGAAGAGTCTATCTGAAAACTGCTAACAAATATACACAAGGAGGCAGGACTTATGAAAAGCTACATGTACCCTTCGATTTATAACCTTACTACTGCAACTCTGAAACATACAAACTGATTTTGTATGAAAAGCCTTAAATCAAACATCTTTTACATGAGCGCAAGTGCATAGTTTACAAGTTCATCCTTTGTCTGCCTGTTGTCAGGTTTACAGCCAGGAGGGACAGTGCTTTTTGACAGATGACAATACAGGATAAGCCCTTTATCATGTTTCACTTTTATTGAACATTTCCTGCAAATGCAGATTCCAACCTTGCTTCAGGTTGTACGCATCAACTTAAGCCATGAGAAACCAATGCGTTTGGAAATCCAAAGCCTTGTAGTGGTTGATTTCTGTAGTTAGAGAAATGACAGTGGTGTAACAGTCACTCGTAAAAGCAGTGTGGCGCAAGAGGCTCTTTGGTGCCAAAAACACTGTCAGGGATGCATTTCTGAACGCTACTGAGTACACAGCAATCCAAATTACAACTCTCCCTCGCAGTGCTAGAGGGACATTAAAGGACACTGGAGACTCCCATATCTTGAGCGGACTGCGAAAAAATATCACCATTAAAGAAAAGCCGTATAAAAATCAATGACAAAAGACTTCAATGAGAAAGTAGATACTCTCTTTCATCCTTAAACACAGGTCAGGTACAGCCCAACTCCACAGCAGGCATATTAAATAACAGATTTAAGGTGATCTACACACTGAGACCTCAAAAGACCACTGCCTTAATCTTACACCCATTTATACGGGCATTTACATGGCAAGGTATTTAAATCATCTAGATCTTCAGTACTGCCTAAAGAACACACTGCTTACATACCAGCACACAGTCGTATGTTAAACACCTAGAATTATGTAGAAACCTCAGATTTAAGTGAAGGCTAAAAAACCCTACAGTAACTTAAAAGTTCCTATCTCTACTGACTTGTGATTTCTTTTTAAACCTGATAAATGTAACAAAACTGCAGACTTACTTGTGATTCTTTTTTCCCCAAACTGCAATGTATAGGCCGATCCTCGCATAGATATACACATATATACAAAATCCATAGAAAACTCAAAGTCCTGTAGCAAGATTCCTAACTTAGGCAGAAAAACATCACAGATACCGTAAGGGACAAAACAGAGATAAAGGGCCAATTCTGTCATCACAAGCACTTCTGGTTCCACACTAACTTCAGTCATTGCATGCACTAGATACCCAGAGTTATACGTATCTCTGGGTACAGTTGAGCCAACTGACTAAATTACTCTTTCAATACATCTCACTTTCAACCTGATCTAGAAGTGAAGGTACTACTTAGCATGTCAAGTAGAAGAGGAGGGAATAAAAACCAAGCCTCATGTGATTTGCTACAGCATCAAGTGTAGTTATTTGCACAACCTGGCCGGGTTTAACAAAACTGCAAGTTTCCATTTCAAAAACCTATTCTACCACCTGCATGGCAAGAAACAATGTACAGCTCCTCAGACACTCATTTACAACTATCACCTCTAAAACCAAACATTCTGCCCTTGTTAAAATGCAGGTTGGCTTCACTGAACTACCACTGCAAATCCTAGAGTTGCTTTTTGAACTGTGCCTGCCTCTGCAGCTGGTACACAGCTGGACCATCTGCACCCCCTAGCTGTCACAGGTAAGACACAGTACTTTTATCTAACTTACATTCATTTTCAACTTCAAATTTATTGAGGCAGTTTATATCAATGTATCCAGAAAATAATTCAGAAAGAACCCAAGTATACCATTTAAACATCTTCATGATTTATCCATTTACACACTCAGTACACAAACAACCCAGCCTCTGTACAGGTTCATCACATGCAAACCACCCAGCAAGACAAAAAACTGGAATTAAAAATAAGTCACAACTCAGTGTACTGGTTCAACTGCATCTCCATTTACCAAAATGGCACATTGAATAGTCTCTAAAATAAGATGTTTTTAACAATCTTGTTAAAAAATTCTTGGGCAAAATATTTCTAGACTTAAAAAACATCCAGGTTTTTTCAAAACACTCAAGATACTATACAACTTAGAAGAACCTTGAAATAGGTTTTACAAGGTTGTTAACCAAGGTATTTACATACCAAATAATGTAAAGCAAAAAACTGGTATTTCTAATGACAAAAAAGGTGATGCATTAAAGATTTATGAAATTAAAATTAAGGCTCTTTGTTATAGTTCTTTATGTAACTTTACATAATAGCCAACTTTGGAAATGTCAGTCTTGCACATTCTTGTCAATCTACTGCCTTGAAAGCAGTAGAGTATATTAAGTATTACTTTGAATAATTACATTGCTACTTCTATGTTTGAGCATGCTTTTGAAACACTGTCATTATGAAATATTTACAATGTGCAGCCTTCAAACTTGATGGAAAAGCCCAAGTATGAGTGTCTGCTTTGATACAAACAACATACTTGCAAAAGCCTTTTACTTCTCAAAATTAAAAGCAAATTCCTACAGTCTTAATAAGAAAACCAGCCCTGAAAAGGTTTCACGTGGGCCTGAATGTGGACTGTAAAAGTGATGTGACGTTCCTCAGACAGTACTGGTTTTCACTTTAGGCTGACCTATTCTTTGTATCAGACTCTTTATGAACGTAGAAAAATTAAACGTATCTTTTAAAAAGTTCCTTCAAGCCCTACACATCCTTTCTGAGCTCTGCCCATAGGTACTGGGAAAATCAATACTGTCTTCTTGGCTGGAATGACTGGTCCACAGTTTATTTCAGGAGGCGTGTTCGACTACAAGCAACTTGCCGTTTTGCAACGTCCTCTCTCTTAAAAAGCACAGTGATGTAAAACACTGAAGACAGAACACACACAAGAAAAAAAAAGATAGAATGGAATGGTAACCTAAAAGATCAGATCCATTAGCCATCTCCCCTACTATATCAAAATTTGTAGTCAGAATTGTCTTTATTGACTTTATTTTTCATTTTTGTACACAAAGAAAAACATGTTCATCTCCATCATGAACAAAAAACTTTAAAAGGCAGAACTAGAAGACATTTGTGTCCTTCACCAAAGCAAAGCTGTGCTAAAGGTTCCAAACATTTCCATTTTTAAAATAAATATTTTCTTTTTTTTTTTTTCCATTGTCTACATTCCAGTCTTCAGAATGTCACTGGAAACTGCAGCCTATCATGAAATACACACTTTTAAACAGAGTCCCAGCTCACTGTGTTTGGTAGCTTGCCATACCATATCCAGCTTGGTTAGGTATTACAGGAGCACCTTGTCCCTGGGGAGGCTGAGCACCAAATCCACCCATCCAGGCAGCAGATGGAGATTGGCTTAAAAAGAAACAGGATGGTTAAAAACAGGAAAGGGAAAAACTTCATCATGCAATCTAGTCAAGTTATCTACAAGGCAAGAGACCAAGAAAAAAAAAAAAAAGAACCTATATCATACTTCCTATACTACTATTCACAGAATCATGGAATGGTTTGTGTTGGAAGGGACCTTAAAGCTCATCCAGTTCCAACCCCCTGTCACAGGCAGGGACACCTTCCACTAGAGCAGCTTGCTCCAAGCCCTTGTGTCCAACCTGGCCTTGAACACTGCCAGGGATGGGGCAGCCACAGCTTCTCTGGGCACCCTGTGCCAGCGCCTCAGCACCCTCACAGGGAAGAGCTTCTGCCTAAGAGCTCATCTCAGTCTCCCCTCTGGCAGGTTAAAGCCATTCCCCTTCTGCTGTTCCTACAGGCCCTTGTCCAAAGCCCCTCTCCAGGTTTCTTGTAGCCCCTTTAGATACTAGGGGCTGCTCTGAGGTCTCCTCTGAACCTTCTCTTCTCCACATTGAACACTCATACCATTCAATGAATGAATGAACTACTCATACCAAAACACACCAATTTCTTCTTATCTTTAATGAAAAATGCAGGTTAAGTGCTACAACATGTGATTCTTGAAAGTGTCATAAGCTTTTTAAGAACAAATTCTGAATCTGAAGAAGTTAAAATGTCCACAGGTAGCTGCTGCTCTCCAGGGCTGTGAACCCTTTAGGCAATACCTGGGCTCCCTATCTCAGACTCTCCAATATTCACCACCTTAAGTCAGAGTCCAGAAGATGTTCAGGCATCAGACAAGACCGCTACCCGAAACTGCTGCTGGAGAAGGTCTCTGTGCCTTCCATCTCAAAACACTTATACACATAAAGCATGTGAGTGAGTGCAAGTCAGAGTGACTCACCCCTTTATTTGGTCCATGGAAATCATTAAACATCAGCTTTAAGCACCCAAGAGTCCACCTAAGGCTTGAAACCTTGTTCATTCCTTGAAACAACTAAGTCTGAAACTCAGACCTAACATTCTTGGAATAGTCTAAAAGAATTAAATACAATTACTCACTCTACTCCAAAACCCTGTTGATTCCATGCTTGGCCATACATTCCATATGATGGTACTTGCCACCCGTTAGCCATATATTGCCCATACTGCTGTGGATTTCCATATACTTGGCTCCATTGCCCCCACTGGCTGTAATCCACCTAAGGAGAGAATAATTCACAGTACTTAAGGTTCTAGAGATGGATTATGTTCCCTTTGTGCTGCTGAAGGCAAAATTTTGGGCGCTATCAATTGCAGGACTAAAAGGAGCAACAGAGATCAGCAAAATAAGACATCACTGTGACTGAAACACGTCTTTGTGTGTTTGAAATACCAAAAGAATATTTGGATGGATAGTCGCCTCGGCTGCAGTTAGTGAACTAGCAAGAATCAGAATTACCTCAAAGTTTCTCCCTATCTTGAATCATATCCAGAAGACAGTAACAGATATTCCATCAAAATCACTAGCCCAATTTGATGAACAACTGGAACATAACTGAGACAGAACATTGAATTTCATAAGAACTCCAGCACAAAATTCAGCTATCATAGCTGGGAAGGTATGACAGGTATATATACAATTGCTTTTGTAATACAATGAAAAGGTAAAAGTGCAGTTACCTGTTGGAAGTTTTTAGTCATATCAGGGGATTCTTTACCCCAATAACATTTAACAACATGTCCTTCAATTGTGGTTCCATTAACTGAAACAATAGCGTGTGCTGCACTTTCATGGGTTGAAAATCTGAAGGATGTAAAAACAAACTCATGTTATGTTTCACAGTACTTTCACCTTGTTAAAAAGCAGTGACTCCATCCATACATCCAGGATATCCAGAGAAAAAGATCTGCTTTCACAGATATTCATCTTTCCAGGTAGGAAGACTGTGGCCACTTTTTAAGGTTCCAAATTTTTCAATGAACATATGGTGAAGGCTTTAAATGTAGCAGCAGAAGCTCAGCCAAGCAAAATTACATAAAGATGATACATTATTACACAAACAAAACAACAGATTTTGTTTTTCTCTCTCCATACCTGACAAATGAGTAACCTTTTTCTGGAAACACCCTTATTTCCATTATCTGTCCGAATGGGGAAAAAGTCTGTCTCATAAGTTGATCTACAACACACAACATTTTTGAGTTAGTAACCATCCTGGTGGCCAGAAAGCTTCAGTAATACCAACAGCAACAGAACAAATCCTACCTGTTAGCCCAGAGGCGATTCCTCCACAGTACACAGTACAATTTTTTGGACTTGACTGATTTACTACATCTTCAAATCTCAACTGTTTTGTATTATCTATAAAGAGAGAAGACTGGTTTTAAGCAGTAGGCTATCAGTAACCAGAGCCTCAGATACTTACCTCATACACAAGGATGAATTACACATTTAAACACACACATTCAATATTTTATGACAGACCAGCACTGCTATTACTCTAATATACAAAAAAAACAACTATCCTTTTTGATCTGGAAGCCAACCTAGATACATAATTGACATGATTTTGGCAACACTATGTTTCATTCCTCCACTGAACAGTGCCACGCAAACACAACAGAGCATGATATGAAGGTCTTACTTTCTTGTGTATTTTTGGGGGCTGGTGGTTTCCGCGTTGCCCAGTTAGTTCTGATCTGACGGCCTCCCAACCACTGGCCTCCCATGTGTACAATAGCATTTTCTGCATCCTAAAGAGATTAAAATGGAGACTGTAACACACCCAAACAAGTAGTACATACAAGTCTACTTCCAAGAAAGACTTGGTTGGCAGTTCATTCTGTTGACAACAGTAACAGTACTAAAAAGCATATGAAATTCTGAGCAACCACAGCAAGCAGACAAAAATAAAATAACTTGAGGCCCATCAGAGAAGGTCCTCAAGTGAGCTGGTAAAACCTTCCTCCCATCCTCATTTGCTACACATAGGTTAGAAGCCAACTACAGTCATACATATACTACCTGTACACAACCTCCATCTGTATCAGAATATCTGAAGGCTACCCCAAAAAGCACAAAGGTCATACAGATGCCAGAAGCAATTACTAAAATAAAACAACTATCATTTTAACTATTGAAAAATCAACTTGTTTTGCCAATGACTTAAAAATACAACACACAAAAGTATATTTAATGATCAAAAGAAAGGCAAGACATTTAAAATTGTCAGAATCACTTAGTGAAAAGCTTCTCTGCTGTAGCTCAAGTACCATTTATACCCTGAAGTACGTGTCTGCAAAAGACATTGTACAGCACAATCTGCATGTGGTTTTTCAGAGTCTGTAACGCTGAGATACAAAACAGATTGAGCACATTGCTTTTATTTATTACTTGCGCACACACACCCCCTGTCCCATCCTCTCTTCTGCCCTCTGGAGACATGCAAGACATGTCTGAGCTCAGACTGCTTTGTAAGGTCATTGCATGAACAGACATAAAAGTAAGTCCAGGGCCCACATGGCTTAACTTCTATCTCGAGCATGAATTAGAAGACAATCTTTAAAGTTCACACTGTAAGCAGAAGCATTTAGTAAGCATGGGGTAACTTTGCTAACACTTCCACATAGCAATTTTTTCTCCACTTGCTCTGAAAGAAGAGAGGCAGAGCAAATGGTACAGATGTTTGAAATGCTTTCCCAAGGGCACAAAGCTTAAGAAAGAGAACACCAAGTACATGGAAGAAAGAACACATGGACGAGGTAACAGGGAGCAGCTAGCACTGTCCTGCCTCACACTGAAGGCTCCCAGCTATAGCTTTCATCTGTAACTCGTCACTCAGAACCTCAATCCTCCTAAGTATTAATTAGAGGGTGCTCATTTTTAAGACAATACATAAACAGAATAAAGAAGTTACGAAATGACTGATAAGACTAAAACCACTAGACAATAAACACAAACCTCACTCAAACACCCTCACTCCCAAAACATGATTAAATTACAAACTGACTAGGAAAGACAACTACCTCTTAATGAACCTTGCTGCCAGCCTTGAGGGTCACTGCAATGACACAAATGGAACGAGCCCATACTGTAACTGCTCCAGTTCACCATGTGGCGTGCACTTGGACCTCAGGCTAGAGACCTGCAATCTGGGAACACATCCCACTTCCCCAAACCTAGCAGGACAGCAATAAAGTCTGAAAAATAGGCCTTCAACTGCCAGCTCAGGATGATGGTGCCACAACCACCGAGGTACGGCTGCAGTTTGAATGAACAGCAATCAGGACAAGTTTTACAGGCACTTTTTAGTATGACATTTAGAATTTAGCTATTTAGGTTAAATGTAAGGAAGAAGTTCTTTACTGTGAGGGTGATGAGGCACTGGAACAGGATGCCCAGAGAAGCAGCAAATGCTCCATCCCTGGCAGTGTTCAAGGCCAGGCTAGACAGAGCCTTCGGTGACATGGTTTAGTGTGAGGTGTCGCTGCCCATGGCAGGGGGGTTGGAACTGGATAAGCTTAAGGTCCTTTCCAACCCAAACCATTCTGGGATTCTATGATTAATTTTGCAGAATTAATACAGATTTTAATTTGCAGGTTTTATGGTTCAGACTTAAAAGAACCCAGCAACTTGCATTCCATATGACTGTTACAACATTTGCCCTACAGTCACAGAAACCAAGCACAATCATACGATAAGGGAAGAGGGGTACAAGGAAATAAGATTTCTCTTGTCTATTCCAGCTGCAACACAAAATAAACCAAGCCTAAGTGGAAAAATACACTAAATAAAGGCATTCAATCATAATGTCTTCTGGCGTTTGCAAATCTGAAGACAAGAAATTCCAACTTATCCTCTGATTCATCTCCAGATAACTGTGACAGAAGATAGAAGTCATCTTAACACATAGGACTTCTGACCACACAAACAGGCTTATACACCCCAAATCCTTAACTGTGTGTGGTTTTCCTAAGCAAAGTATTTAAGGAAAATGGTTTATAGTTTCCACACATTGCGCTTATGTACCTCTGAATACACACAGCTCAATTCTCCTATCAATTTTCACAAGTTTCTCATGCTGTTTGACATTTAATTTCCAAATTACTAAGGATTATTTGTTGAGTCAATAGATAGATTTGTTGTTAACAGAAAACAGATTTGTTGTTTATAGATAATAGCACTATTTTTATCACTACTACGTTGATTAAACTCTACAAATAACACCTTTAAAATCAGTATCAGTAAGGGGGACTAGTCCCTTGTTAAAAGTATTTCTTCCTAAGCACGCATAACATCATCCATCATATAAGTTCATCCATCACGTAAGACCATCCAACACAAAACCAAGAACAACCTTCAGTTTTACAATATGCAGAAGCAAATGCTCTAGTAGTACAGAATCAGCTCTTAGCTGAGAATCACTCAATACAAAGACCCATTTTAAGAATCCAAAATAAGAACTAAAGTGAAGGACCAACCAACAGCTTTATGAAGATGCAGAGCTCAAGGAAGTAAACCTGGCTGTACTTTACAGTATGACAGACTTGGTTGCATTAGGTCCCCAGAAAGACTGAGCTTTGGCACAAACCTAAACATGGCAAATCAAGAATGCTTTGGATTGGAAGGGACCCTAAAGCTCATCCAGTTCCAACCCCCTGTCACAGGCAGGGACACCTTCCACTAGAGCAGCTTGCTCCGAGCCCCTGTGTCCAACCTGGCCTTGAACACTGCCAGGGAAGAGGCAGCCACAGCTTCTCTGGGCACCCTGTGCCAGCGCCTCAGCACCCTCACAGTGACCAAACCCTGCCATGTAGCATGGCACTGTGCTGCTGACAGCACTAAGACATCATTCTGTAGGGGAGCTCCTACCTTAACGCAGGCACCTGGCGTGGTGCCTCAGTTAAGAGGCCCAAAGCACTGCTGATCAGACCAGGCACCCAGCTCGCTGTAGGAGAGACAGGTCCACAGGCTGAGCTGACCTACCCTAACTCACCCAAACAAGCTTGCCACATGAAGGAATCTTCTTTCATAATGTTCTCACGGCACTGCTGTCATCCGAATTGTTTCAATCCTTAACCACAGATAACAAAAGCTTTTGACTAAAGTACGTTTGTCCCGTACATGCAAATTTATTTCCCTTGGGAAAGCCTGATACACAGTGAACATACAAACAAAAAGGCAAAGCTACAAGTAGAAAACAGGCAATGATTTTCAGTGGACACTGTGCTTACTCACCAGTTTGTTATAAAAAGATACAAAACCATAGCCTTTTGACTTTCCAGTTGCCATATCTTTAACTACCCGTGCATCCCTGTGAAGAGAAGCACAGCTATATGAGGGCAATATTAATAACCTGCAAAATAAAAACTAAAAGGAACCACACACACTGTATCGTGAGCATAATTTTGTCTTAGCAATTCAGTTAGCCCTACAACTACAATTCATTCCTGAACTCTCCCTATTGCTTCTTTACCTGTTAGAAAAAAGCAGTAGGACAAAAAAAAATAACATGTAATAAACATGCAACCTAAACCACATAACCTATGCTGGCTAGGACTAGAATGCTCAAATTGGGCAGCATAAAGAGAGACAACGTTTCCTTTTCTAGTATTCTATTGGCTAGGGTCCTCTAAGGTTTACTGTTCTAGAAATTACTGTAACAATTCTAGCTAAGTTACCATGCATTCTCTAAATAGTTAAAGGTCTTCTGCCTACCGATACCAAATATATGAAATATTAAAAAAATGGAAAAAGAGGAAAAAATAGGAATTAAAAGGCATACATGGCCTGTTAACAGATTTCTTTATTTTTCTTGGTCAATTCTCTAGCATCATTTTGGAGTTTGGGGAGCTGTAAATTTTGAAAAATTGACATTTTCAGATATTTAAAGAAAAGGAGAATAAAACTAACAACAATGCTAAGCACACCAGTACGAAAACAACAAATTTACACAGAAATTTTAGTGAGTAAGTTAAAATGATTGGAAATATAGAACTGCACTGAATATAGAATGTTAAAATGTAAATACTAAAATATGTATATATAAATAATGTATAATAAGAATAAATAGAAATGAGAAAAAATCTACAACTGAGTTCCAGTGTGCACAGTTCCTTGCAGTTAGCCTTCAAGATCCTGTCCATTCTTATGAGCAATTCTGCAAAATAACCAGAATGCTATTACTTTTAATTGTGACTTGGACTTTAGAAAAACTGCAGGTCTCAGGTATAAATATAGATTGAGAAAACAGAAACCTGAATTATTCTCTTTAAAACCCCATTTTTAAAACAGTACTTACTTACCACATTAAGAGACAAAAAGCAAAGTAAACAAAATAGCAAGAGGTAAGAAATAAGATTTATGATTTCATTTCAAAATGTACAGAACAAGAGAAAACTCAGCATTTTGCTCTTAGAACTATAGCCCTGCAAACCTTCATGTGCAACTTCATGTACTCTTAAGGACACACATACTTTAGCACTCACAAGGATGCTTGTCATGTTTAATGTGTTCCATTAAAACACCAGGTGATTTAGGATCACCTCAATTATCTATGAGAAGTTTAAAGTAACCTTCTCTTAACTGGCAGAAATATGCACATATTGTAAATCCACCATTTTTTCATTTCAATATTATAATCTTAATTCAACCCGTTATCATCCCCCAAAAGCAGATTTCATTTTCATTATTAGCTTTTTTTAACATGTTCATCACAAGTTATTCAATTAGCTGCTTCATTAAGTTATATTCCAATTACCCAGTTTACTGCCTATGAAACGCAGTATGAATGCATACACAATACACCAAAGATGCAACATATACCAGTTATCAAGTCACTACTCTGTACACATTCTAAACAACAAAAAGTCACACTTAGGAACAGTAATTAAGAATTAATAAGAAGCTGAAGGACATTAGCATATAAATTAGGTTAAAAGCACACTGCTTTCAGCAAAACCAGAGCACAATTACATTACTGTATTTGCAATCATGATAGATATTAAGATGAAACAATAACCCCTTCTTTACTGCCCACCCAACATAAGGAAATCAACATCAGAAAATCATCTAAAAACAAGAACTAACATTTCAACTCAAACATATTTTCGCTGTCATTTTCTAACCGATATTGGAAATGTTTATGATGATACTTACGATATTTTACCAAAGGGAGCAAATGCTGACTTGATGTCTTCTGTTGTTATTTCTGGACTTAAATCCCCAACGAACACATGGAAGTGATCTGAAAATAAATAATTTACTTATCAAATATTTAACTGCTATCTACAATGTCAACTCCTGAGAAAGTGATGCTCTGCACACAGCACTGGGAACCACGATTCCATTGGATGAGCAGCAGCAATTTAATCTGTCCACTCCAGTTTCCCCAGTTGTAAAGCAGAAACAGAAGAATTAGTTTGCAAACTTCTATTAAACACAAGATGGGAAGGAGAAAAGTTATGTTTAAATGTATTTATGACAAATTATTACCACAATGTGAAGGATTTGTGTAGAAGTGATACTGTGGCATTACTTTACTTACTGGATGTATCCTTTTTCTGGCTACTTGGTGTTGTTGCCCAGTTTACTTTGACCTCCTGAAAATAAGCATAAGATTTAGTATGAATTCACAAAATCCTTACATTTTATAAGTTCATTCAAGGGTGGGTTACAACAATGTCTACAAGCCATCACTCAGTATAAAACACTGTCCTAGTCAGAACATCACAAACAGTATGTTTCCTAAACAGGACTGACTTTTCCAAATCAGTATTTTATTAATCTAAAATATTAAACTTGAGAAACAACTTCAAGAAAATGAACATCCCACAGTTTTATGAATAGCTTTTACACAAACCTTAAATCTAAGATTTAAGAGTCCTTAAATCTAAGATTCCAATGTAAGCAACTTACCTTCCCCAAAATTTTTCTCCCATTCATAGCAGCTAATGCAGCAGCTGCATCTCTGTGTTCATAAAATTCCACAAAGCAATAAGGGTCATTGCTTGTATGCTGCAAAACAGAAAATCCAACAGAAGAGTTGACCCTTCTGCTATCGGGTTGCTGAGAAGAAAATCCAGGAAAATATATTACTTATAGTTAGAAACTTTAAAAATGATTTGCATTAGATTTATGAAATAGCCTTTGACATTACACTTAAATGCAAGAATTATTAAGATGGACTTTTATTAAAGGTCTAGTAATGTCTGAAGTATAGTGTATTTTCTGCGAGGGCTCAGTACTTCAGGTTTATTACACTAAGAATAATTCAACTAACCAGAAATGTGATCTGCAGACTGGATGAAAGGGGAGGTGGGAAAGGGAAGAATGGAAAGAAGAACAAATACGGTCTTCTGACTCATACATACACTCAAAGCTTAAAAGGTTTGTTCCCCAGATACGTTATTGCCAATTTTCTCTCTCCTCCTACTTAAGAAGTCTTTCCTTGTATTTGCCTAAAAATCACAGCCAGAATGCAACCTAGGAGTTGCATCTTCTCAGTCTCATATGAAAAATGTTATACCCAGCAATGGGGAAACATCCGTTTAAAAGAACTCAAAACAGTCTGACTGGGGGGGGGGAGATATCAATTGATTGTTACTCTTAAATCTGGGGTACATCCTGGTTTTGTAAGATGGACTAATAAAACACCTTTAAACATAGTAATTGACAAACAAAACTCACTGAAGTATTAAATGTACCAAATTATTAAGAGCAAAGAACATAAAGCTGATCAAGTAGAAATAATGATTAGAATGCCATTGGATTTAATCTGCCTAAAGGATGTAATGAGTACAAAACCTATAGCCTTGCACCAAAATATCTACACTAACTACTCTTAGTACTTATCTACACTAAGTGCTCTGCATGTGCACAGACCAGGAGATGACAAACACTACTGAATTAAACCAATTATTTCTTGCATGGACAGGGAAGGGTCTAGCAACTAAAGAAACTGCTTTGGCACCAGTATTCTTGCATGTCAACACCCCTCAGGGTTAGGTAGAGGGCTCTAACTCAAGTTGGGAGCAGGCCTTTGACGGTTTTATTATTTAACTTCTGGAAATTCACACATGCTTATATGGACAAAAAAATTCTAATTCTGCCCCATTAAACTGGATTGTACATCTTCAGTAGTTCTGTCCACACCTGAAACAAGGAAGTTAAGATCACAAGGCCTTTTTATACTCAAAATGATCAAGCAGTCTGAAGGCATCCTTCTAAACAGTCAGTACAAGGAGTCTCTAAATGATGCAAAATGAGCAAAGAAAATATGCCTGAGATCGTAAAAAACTTTAAGTCACAACAGCCATGAAATGCTTTGAGAGCACATTCACTCCAGATGCCTCAAAACAGTGATCCTTAATTCACTCCTCTCCCCATACTACCTTCCTGCTACAGTGAAAACAAGATGAGGACTTAGCAGATGAGTGCAGTCTGTGCTTCAGCTGAAGTAGAATTTACTTTTAGACTGTGGAGAGGCCTTCTCTACCACTAAGAAGCTGTCTGAACATGAAAAGATCCTCTTTCGCAGATACCCAGATCCTGAGGAGTTTGAGATACCCGGGGTGGCGTGAGTAGCATGAAGAGGTATTATACACCTCCAAAATACCCACTTCAAATCTCTAAACACTTGACATGTTCATGTCATATACTGTACAAATTTAAGAGACAGTGATCAAACAGTTGATACATCTGGCTGAAGAGGGGAAGGAAACAAAATCACAGAAGTTTTTAAAGCATTCAGGTATAAACTTGACTGATGGTGGCAGTAACAAGACAGGTAAGAACCACTTAAAACGCAACTCGGTGCCTATGAGAAGGTGACAACACGGATTAGGAGGATGGACAGCATGGACAGGTACTTTGACAGAAGTGCTGTAGCTGCAGGCCAGTTCCAGTCTAAAATCCAACTCGCACTTGCTGACTGCTCAGTGACAGGGGATTAGGTCAGCTCAGTGTGTTCACCTCCAGATGACTGAATATAGCTGTGAGTAGCTTTTTGTTTAGCTCCTCAGTTCAGAAAGATGCCTCACCTGTTATTTGTATGGTTATGTAAAATCCTAAAACCATAAAGTCTAAATCAAGGAAAAAGAGTGTTGGAACTTCTCATCTTGTTCTCAAGAAATCACACTAATGCTAACATCTCTCAATCGATGAAGGCTGGAGCTGCAGAACCTTATTTCTAATGAGCCTATGACAATCAAAGCTGTTTCTTCAGAGGAAAAAAAAAAAACAATTGTGCTCTGTTACCGTTCTGTTTAGTCACCTTTCTCCAATAAACCTGTAGAGTTATTTGGCTCTTATCTCCACTAGAAGGTTTTAATTAACAGGGAATGATTAGTGAAGACAAAGAAGAGAGTGATTAAACAAGCATCAGATGGATAAGAAGCCACTAAAACCACGCCCCAAAAAAGCAGTGTGTCACATTGAGAGGAAAAGGAGACCACAGAGGAGTTCCTAGGAGTGTTCCTAAACAAGTCTGCTTTCCAGACTTGCCTTTTAACACCTTCATTAACAATCCTGGCCAAAAAAAGTAACGCGACTGTACTCAGGAAATCTGTAATCACAGGTTAGTAACAAGAATAAGTAGTAGTAGAAGTAGGAAGAGCATAGAGAAAACCAGAGCTGACGAACCAAACACTGAACCCAGCAAAAGTTCTGATCAGTCCTTGCCAGAAGTTTATCAGTTATAAATGCTACAAGGAAGGAAAAATATTAAGGATAAAGAAATTGCTTAGGATGTGTCAACGAGATTGTGGAAATGGAACCAATCCTAAAGGTATCAGAGCATTTGCAATGGTGAGAAGAAAGTATTAATACTTACCACTATTTTATACAAAAGACCTTGTCTGGGATACTATGGGAATTCTGTCACTTTGTTTCAAGAAAAAAATCATTTAAGAACAGAGCGATGCAGACAAAAGCTGTTTGCACTGGCACAGAAGTGACTCAGGAAGAGCACAGCTTGTTTTGAAGGATTTTGGACTTTTCATCCATAGTGAAGCAGCATTTAGTCAAGAGGAAAAAGAATTACTGAGGCTCATGTTCAAATAAAGTAAAAAAATGTACAAAATAGCCATGAATAACACTTGAAACAATGAGGTTTCTGATCATCACAATGGGATTCTGAAAAGAAGGGGTTACAACCTTCTAAAGAAGGTGGAATCTCATCATCAGCTGGTGAAGGGTATGTCAGGGCTACAGGGAGAAGTACAGGACTCTGCACAACAACAGGTCTCTTCTGCAAAAAGTTATCCCCAAAGCCAAGCACAATCAACCTAAAACCCCACTATCAGGAATGGCAAAAGAAGCCCCAACTCCATTTATGTGCATAACTTATCATCACTTACATTATATTTGCTACCCCCCTGGAAGTGGCCTTACCTCTGTTATCATTTTACAGCTTTTGCATGGTCCAATCTGGCTGAATAACTGAAGTATAAGAACTTCAGTCACATCTCTGGAGAGGTTTCCTACATAGCTACACAAGGAAACAAATAAAACAGAATTTTAAACCACATGTTTTCATCTTTTTCACATGTTATTATGATTTTAAACTCTTAAATGACTATGAAACAGCTCCCTTTAAATATCCTATGTATCTTAAAGATACTATTTACAAATTATGTCATGATACAGTTTTAATTCAGCACTCCTGTGGTTTCTGAAGTTGCCCCCACAACTGGGAGCATGAAGCTTGATTCAGACATAATAGTGGACATAGATATCTAGTGCCAATAGGGAAATATCAGAAGCATGAAGAACATTGCTCAAGAACAAGCAAACAACTAGGAAAAGACGTTTTAAGTTTCACTTCCCACAGAGCATCTAATCCAGACTACTTCTGAATTTGGGTACAAACCCACACCGAACTCCTATTACTCCTGTAATAGCTATCAGACATAACTGTGCTGCCTTCCAGCTCCAACTTTGTTTTCCTGAGCTTTTGGGAAAGCAGCCCACTTGCCAACAGGCAATTCATGCAACACTGTGCCACAGGAATACTCTGCACAGAGTTTATCTCCACAGCTACCACTCTGTAAAACACCCCAAAGTTTTGGCAGTGTTACCTTAACATCACCCATACTTCCTGATTTATTTATAAAACCTTAGAAACAACTCAAGTTTTAAAACACCTGTCTAGTTTACACAGAGCCCTATATTTATCCAGACAGCGAGAAACCCAATAGCAGAGCTCGAAAACTACTTCTAGATACTCTGCTATGTTTTACACTAGCAAGAAGTAAAATGAGGTCAAAGGGATGGCTGAGAAGAGTCATGAATGCAAAACTGAACTACTTTTAAGTGAGTAATTTGTAATCAAACTGTAAGCAAAGTGATCAGTTACGAGAAAGGTTTGTCAAAGCACCAGAACTCAGAGTCACAGCACAGGGACATTCATTATCTTTACAAGTAAACCTGTCAAGACACCAAGGATTCAAATGCAATCAGTAACATGAGCAGAACTTTAATGATTCAGCTGTTGAAACAATATACATTTTATTCATTTTACTCTGAATGTCACAATACAATAAACTAAAGTCAGTCTGAGCTGTTAATACACTTCAGGGAATATAAATGTAAACTAGCATTTCTTAGCCTATGCATAAGCCAATTTCTTTTGGGTAAAGACATGTAAGTGCATGCTTTTCCTTCATGGGTATCCCTTTCCCATTTCTGAAAAGCCAATTCTAGGTTTGACAACTGGACTTTCATCTAGCTTTGGCAAAATCCAAATGGACCCTATGTGAACACTACAGAATGATATCAACAGGGTTTTCTCTATGTTGTAATTATTTCAACAGCTATGAAACAGTTCTGCACTTCCTCAGCCAGAACTTAAATGCTACACAAGATCCAGAGTGAGTTTCTCATGTATCACATCATCAGAATATTAGAAACAGCCATTAAAAACTTTCATGTACTCATTACTTTCTTACTAAATGCATTTGAGTTAATAGGAGTCATTAACAGAAGATGTATTTTCACCGTGTGTTGTTATGAAGGATTTCAGTAAAGAAATTAAAACCTACAGATTTCTAAGACCCATTACAGAACAAACTGCCCATCTCACTGACTTTTCAATTCTCTATTCTGAAATCTTAGCAGTTAAATATTTATCTACACCTTTGTTCCAAAACCTTAACTCATTTTTTGTTAATCATTCACCAAGATCAAATCGTAAATCGCTATTAGTTTTAAATGGAAACATTAACCTCTGAAGATGCTACTAAAATCAGAGGGAAAATACAACTACCAGGAGGAATTCCCACATGAAATGTCAGGACTGCTGTGAACTTATCACTAGGTGCTATTTTAATTTGTATGTTGTAGAATAGTATTAGTTAACACCACACCTTAACATACTGATATAAGCACCTGTACAGTAGCAGTGACATGAAATTAAGTACAGTGAAGTCCTACTAACATTATTTCTAGTGCAAACTCAGATATGGAACACAGTTAACACCCCAGAAACCCAAAACCTCCGCCTCTTCTGCATAATACTACTATGTACTTTGGAAATGCAAAACCCCTGAAAAGCAAGCTGAAATATTCCTCTTGGTCTGACAATAAAAAAAGAAAGGAAAAGCCATTCCTCAGAAATCTATTCAACTAACCAAATGCCACTACCTGCTAGAAGAAATCCTAGGTGGACTTCCAATACCACTATGTTTTCATTAAGATAGCTGTGAGAACACTGCATCATAAACCTTGGCTATAAACCAAGTCACCTCTTCATAAAAATCAGCAATGTAATTCTGCATCACCTGATTACCAGATTCAAACGGGATGGAAAGTCCTACTGGTCCAGTAATGCTCTAAATACATATGATAAATACAGCCTTGATGTTTAGTATTACCACAGTCAGAAGGCATTAATACCTTTCACAAGTTGCTAATATTCTGAAACTTGAGTAATACATAATAAAAGGTTCCTGTAACAAGGACAACATCCACAGAGCCCCAGATCCCTTGAACTGCATTTAAACTATGGGAATACAAAACTTGACAAATTGGGAACAATACACTAAAAGGTAAGGTTTGACGACTACTTTCACATCTTGAAGAAAAGTAGGTTGCTGTAATGTCACCTCCTTGAGTACAGTTAAAGATGACTTAAAAACATACAAACATCTTCAGTGCATAATGTCCGAATACTACATAAATAAGAAATAGCTTCAACACACCAGGAACAGAAAGCTTGCCATTCTGGAAACACAAAACTCCCCTCAGCTGATGCTAATCACCAACCACCCATGGCCAGCCTATTTAAGCACCCAGTTTTCCCCTTTCTAGCTCAATCTAGGCATTATATATAACAACATAGTATTTTCTATTCTACTTCACAAAATCAAAGTAAACAGCAGCACACCTGAAGAAAACACATGCCTTTGAACATGCCTGTGTGCAGTAACTTAATCTTCTCCTTAACATTCTAGAGGATGTATTACTCGAACTTTTAAAAATGGCAAAACCCAACAGAGAAGAAACACTTACTATATACTTTTCTAGGCTGTTGTCTTGCTTAATGGGACAGGGCAGCAAAAGTTGTGGCTTTTTGCATACAGGCAATACGGTTTGTTTCCCTCTGCAAGTCTGAAGCACTTAAATACCAATTAATAAGCAAATACAAAATAAAACCCAAACCATATATGTATCTCTCTATATACATAGATCTCCTGATATTACACTATTGAATGCTGCTAACAACACAAAGAATAAAACTGTATTTGAAATTCAGAGATCCTGTAGAATTATCTAAAGAATAAATGAAGCACATATCAGCAAGTAATGAGTTTTCAAATTAAATTCTGGCTTGAACAGAAAAGTCCTCTTTGTGAAGGTAAACAGGATTTTATTGTATTGTAGGTAGGGAAGAAAGGGACATTTAAATGTCCCATTGTGAATGCTCCATCCCTGGCAGTGTTCAAGGCCAGGTTGGACAAAGCCTTGGGTGAGATGGTTTAGTGTGAGGTGTCCCTGTCCATGGCAGGGGGGTTGGAACTGAATGATCTTAAGGTCCTTTCCAACCCAAGCTGTTCTATGATTCTATGATTTGCAGCCACTAGTTTAGGTCCACAAAACTTCCCCTACATACTATTTAGTGGAAAGATAGTAAATATGTTTTCATATTCACACAGACAACATGAAAGAAGAGACAGATTCCGTATTTAAATGAAGAAAGTATGATAAGCAATGCAGTAACTGATGTGGTGAAAAGCCCATAGAAATAGCATCTCTGTCTAGTGTTACTGAGCTGCTAGAAACAAAATGATACCAAGAAAAATCCACTCTGTAGACTCTGCTAGCAGACTATGTTCCTCTACAACAGAACTGAGCTGAAAAGAAGACCAAGAGAAAGGAATCCTGCTCCTGGTTCACAACTGAAGTCTTACTTCTGCACCCTCTTCACATCCCACAACACTTCAAATACGCCACTAATGATACAACAACTTACAGGTACTCTGGGCCTGTTCATGAAGCTTTCCTAAAACCATTAGTAAGAAGAACACACAGATTTGGAACTTTTACTCCAGTTATCAGCAAGAGCTGGTAACATCAGCAACACACAAGGCTTCTGGGGGCTTGGTTTCCACCTTAAAAGTAGAACAGGACTTTGATACAGCTTGTGATGGAACAGTACTCACAGAAAACAGAGTTTAAGTGTCCTATATAAAAAAAAAAACCTCTGAAAAAAATCAAACACCCACAGTTCATTTTAGGACCAGCTGAAAAAATGCATGTTGTGAATGTTCTATATCCCATTCGAATCAAGGGCTGTGACAAATCCTACAAAAAGGCCTCCCCCTTTCTCAAGTTATCTTCAAGTTGTTCAGAGCAGTAAGGAAAACTTTTGGGCAGAAGATGCTGAATGTTATTCTCACATTTCTACACAGGGCTGCTAGTTATGAAATGTGGGAAATAAACATGCAAATTATGCCTGTTTTCTATATTAAGCTTCAGAAAATATTTTGAATTCTTAGAGGTTCATGACTGACCCATCATGATGGAAACCAACATAACAGTCCTGCAAGTACCACAAATGGAAACAATTATTGTTCCTGAGGTATTGAAGATGGGTATAAATGTTCAGTGAACAGTAGTTAGGTGAGGTCTTCATTCTTTTAGAATCATAGAACAGTTAGGGTTGGAAAGGACCTTAAGATCATCTAGTTCCAATCCCCCTGCTATGGGCAGGGACACCCTTATGTGTTCAAAAAGAAAATTCCTTTATAACCTACAAGTTTACTTTTTCTTTCCTGAGGGAATAAAGGAAACACTGAAGACACTCATAAAGTATCACTTAAACTATCAACCAAGCACTTACACATATGGTCAGACAGCTACTGAAACACTCTGCTCTTCACTTAATTCCCACCTCATAAAAACACAAACAAAACCAAGGAGTTCAACTTACAATATTATTCGCTGGTCATGGGGGCTAGTGAGCTGTATTCATATCAGAGATTGCAACTCCTCTACCTGAAAAGTATTACCCAGGATAATAATCTTTAAAACACAACTTGCAGGTCTGCATTTAAAGGTATTCCACATAAAAGCAGGGACAAGAGGAAGATGTAAGAAACGCTACAGAGGAATCTTTGTGTTCTATGAAAAAAAAAGCCCTCAAATAATGACAGGAAAGGAACCCTGCATGAGTGTGGTTACTACAAAACTACTAGGAAACGAATGTATGGCTGTTTATTAGTTTGACAAATTAAACAGTCTCACACTGTGCAATAAAACATCTTGGGCAGATGGGGAGATATTATTTCATGCATCTTAGTACAGATGGGATTCTTCCCTTATCAGTGACTAAGTGGGCTAAGTCAGGTCATCGAACCCACTCCCAATGTAGCACCAAAACTTGCTAGCAGTGAAAGAGCATTCTACTACTTAGTCTAGATAGAGAAGAACATTTAAAACTTAGTCTAGATATAGCACTTACTTACAAAACAAGGGGGAAAGCCTGTCAGGAAAAGAACATGAAAACAAAAGAAAAAAAAACAGTAAAACTTTGTCCTTTTATCTCTTCTCATTCTAAAGCAACACTGAAAACTACATCCACTATCAAGGCCAAGCATTTGGGTAGTTAATGCAAAAAGCATTTAAGATATGCTTATTTATACTACGAATCTCGGGCAGCAAGGGCTAATTAAGTACTTATACTACACTGTAAACAAGTTAAAGTAACTTCTGCAGACACAGGAAGGAGAAAACACACAAATCGCCTCGAAAAGTCTTAAATGCCAAGTCATCATTTTGGAAGTGGGAACAAACTACAGGGATATTTCACTCTGCTTGGGTAGTTTCTTTAAAGTGGCCTTCAATCCAAACTATCTTTGGAAGCCTTCCTGAAAGCTACTGTCCCCAAAACTAAACAGACAAAGGTTTCATCTGCACTGACCTGAACTGTGTTTCTCTTATGGGCAGCCTGAACATTGTACTGTTGGGGCTGCCTGACATGGACAGCCTGAGCTACCACAGTGCTGCTCATAAAGCACATAACATCCTCTGGCAACTGAGGCTCTATGAACTCCTTAAAATGGCCAACAACAGAATTAAGTGCTCTCAAGTGCCTGACCACACATAAAAGCTCCCCTCCTATAAGTCAACAGGACAAAGAAAACTCGTCAAACCCATACCTGCAGAGTTGAAAAGAGCTGAACAGCGAACAGAAAAACCCCTCAAATGTATAGTTTGAAACAGAAAACAGATGACAGCTACTAAATGATCAAACTCTGCCTAGGGAGACACGGCCAACATCCAGTTATTCCTGCTGCCAGGGCCCAAGAGGCTGCTACAGAACCACACCATCAAACACCGGACGGAAAAGCAGTTCTCCCTATCTGCCCGCCATGGAGAGTCTCGTTTCACGGCGCTCCCCATCCCACCCACCGCACGGAGAACACAAAGAACTTTCCTATCGCCGGGACCGCTGCGAACGGGGGACCCCGAGGACAGGCGGCCCGGCCCCGTGAAAAGCTCATACCCACAGCCAGGCAGGGTCCCCCCCGCACCGGGCACGGAACCGGTTAAACCCGGAGTCCCCTCGGCCTCCACCGCGGCGGCGGCACCTCCGCTCCCCGCCGTTTTCGCCCTCAATCGGTGCAACGCGAACCCGCGCCCTCTCCCCCCCGCTCTCCCGGCCTGTGCTCCCCGGCCCCGCTCCCCACCGCCTCGGGACCCCCGCGCCGCCCGGCCCCGCTCCTCTCCACACACCCGCCCGGCCCGCGCCTCCCCGCCCCCACCGCGGCCCTGCCACGCACGCCTCCGGGAGCGCATCCCCCTGCCCGCCTCACCTCGCCCCGCCGCCGGCCCGGCCCCCTCCGCACCAGGCCCGCAGGGGCTCCCTCCCCACTCCCCGAGCCCCCCGCGGCTCGCCCGCGGTCCCCTCCCCACTCACAGGGTCCTGGGTTGCCCGTCGTCTTCCATAATGGTGGGCGAGCGCCGCTCTCAGCCGCAGCCGGGGGCAGCGCCCGAGAGGGGGGCTCCGCCGCGCAGGGAGGCGAAGGGAAGGTAAGGGTGAGGGCCCCGGCTCCCCCCGCTCCGTCTCGACCCCTCGCCAGGTCCCGATCCGGCAGCCCCGAACCTGAGAGGGAAGAAACACCACAAAATGGCCGCCGCCACCAGACACTCAGGAAGCCGCACTCTGCGCAGCCGCGCCCCGCCGGCCCCGCTCCCTCTCGGGACGGATTCTCTTTCCCGGTCCCCACCGCCGCGCCGCGGAGCGCGATGGGGATCGTAGGCGCTGGCGGGGATAAAGCGGCGGGACGGCCCGCGGGGCCCGCCCGCCCTCTGGGGGCTGTAGTCCTGCGGCCGAGCACCGCCCCGCCGGCACAGGGACGGGGAGCCGGGACGGAACTACCGCTCCCGGCAGGCCTGGCGGCAGCGGGCCGGAAGGCGGCCCGGGCCGTGCGGCGGACACCGGGCCCTCCCGCCGCGGGGGCCGAGCCCGGGCGGTGCCGATTGGCCGCCATCAGCCCGGGAAGATTCGCTTGTGCGGGCCGCTGCCTCCCCACGGCGCCATGCCCGGCCTCAGGCTGCGGGGAGCCGCTAACGCCGGGCGTCAGGAGCCGGTTTGAGCCACAGACCGCCGGGGTTTCGGTCCGGTTTCTGGCGCTCAAAGGCAGAAGTGTTGTGGTGGTTTGTGCGTAAATGAGGGATAAAGCGGTCTGGTACAGCTCGGGGGCTCATCCTGTAAATGGTTATTGTCGTGTGGTTGCCTGAGGGGAGTTGATTTGTGCTAGAATATGTTGAATGGGCAGAGGAGGGCACGGAGATGCTGCGAGGGCTGGAGCAGCTCTGCTCTGGAGCCAGGCTGAGAGAGCTGGGCTGGGGCAGCCTGGAGAAGAGAAGGCTCCTGAAGGGGAGACCTGAGAGCAGCTCCAGTGCCTAAAGGGGCTGCAGGAAACCTGGAGAGGGGCTTGGGACAAGGGCCTGTAGGGACAGGCCAAGGGGAATGGCTTTAACCTGCCAGAGGGGAGACTGAGATGAGCTCTTAGGCAGAAGCTCTTCCCTGGGAGGGTGCTGAGGCGCTGGCACAGGGTGCCCAGAGAAGCTGTGGCTGCCCCATCCCTGGCATTGTTCAAGGCCAGGTTGGACACAGGGGCTTGGAGCAAGCTGCTCTAGTGGAAGGTGTCCCTGCTGCATATACACACAGGACAACCAGGTGATCAGGCCCAGTCAGCATGGGTTATGAAAGGCAGGTCCTGCTTGACTAACCTGATCTGCTATGACAGGATGACCTCCTTACTGGATGAGGGAAAGGCTGTGGATGTTGTTGACCTGGACTTTAGTAAAGCCTTTGACACCATTTCCCAGAATGTTCTCCTGCAGAAACTGGCTGCTAATGGCTTGCATGAGTGCACTCTTCCGCGGGTAAACTGGCTGTATGGCTGGGCCCAAAGAGTTCCCCAGTGGGCAGCTGGTGGTGCAACAACACTCCCTGCACACAGTTCTCATTATCTATAGACCCCAGCAGAGGAACTGCTTTGGACTAGCCTCTTGATTTATCTGTCAGAGCAGCTTATCTAATACAAGTTGTTAGCTGGCATACCTTATTCTTAATTACACAGGGCAAGCCTGGAAGCTGTACTGTGGCAGTGACGTTTTGCAGGGATGGTTTGCTGACTTGTCTTCACCTCAGCTCTAAAATCAAAACACGTTTTTAATTACTATTATTCCATTTTTTATTCTACAGAACCTGCATTGTACAGAGCAGCAGTGATGCTGCAAGATCAGGACAGCCAGGTCAGAGCCCTGCTGAGAAGCAGGGGAAAGGAAACAGGACTTAAATACAGTCTTTTCTTGCTCTCTGGCATCCTTACGTCAAGAGCAAGAGGGTTATAGTCTTGATATCCAGCCTCTTTTAAATCTAATTTGCCTTCCTTTACTGATCAAATTATGCCTCCAAAGACAAGCAGAATGCACGGAGACTTCAAATAATTCTTACATAGTATGGAAACTCTCCGATGTGTAATAGAAACACCTGGGGGCAAAAATAAGAGGTCTCCTCATGACTGTTGCCAAGCCCTTGGTCAGACTCCTGTGAACTAACTGGGATTTAGCACGGGTTTATGGATTGCAACCAGGAAAGGAGCCTGATATCCTGAGAATATACTTTGCACTCCCTGTGTATGTGATTTTTATTATTTATTTTTATTCCACCCTCAAAACCCTAATGCTTCATCTAAATCAAATGTATTTAAGTTCTGACTTAGCTGAAAGGTTGACATTTACAAGGAGGCAGGGCTAATAGTGTGAGCTATTTGAATTTTGCAACTCCGAAGCACACACATACAAGCATACGCAAACCTCTTTCCTCACACCACACAGGCAGGAGATGAGAGCTAGGTCAGGATGGGAGCTGAGCAGTGTAAACTAATCAACAGTAGTGCATAAGTAAATCACAGAACCCCAGACTGGTTTGTGTTGGAAGGGATCTTAAAGCTCATCCAGTTCCAACCCCTGCCACGGGCAGGGACACCTTCCACTAGAGCAGCTTGCTCCAAGCCCCTGTGTCCAACCTGGCCTTGAACACTGCCAGGGATGGGGCAGCCACAGCTTCTCTGGGCACCCTGTGCCAGCGCCTCAGCACCCTCACAGGGAAGAGCTTCTGCCTAAGAGCTCATCTCAGTCTCCCCTCTGGCAGGTTAAAGCCATTCCTCTCGGCCTGTCCCTACAGGCCCTTGTCCAAAGCCCCTCTCCAGGTTTCTTGTAGCCCCTTCAGGCACTGGAGCTGCTCTCAGGTCTCCCCTTAAGGAGCCTTCTCTTCTCCAGGCTGAAAAAGGGTCAGGAATTTTCAGTCATCAGGAATTTGAAAAAAAAAGAATATTCAAATGATTAAAATTATTAAAAAAAATAAGAAGGCACAAAGAAGGCTCATTTGCTGCATTGAAATGTTCTTTTATTTTAACATCAGTTACCTTTCTCAAAGAAGAACTCTTACCTTCAGGTCAAACCCAGAAGAGTCAGTTCTGTATTTTCATGCAGCTCATCCACCCCATCAGCTCTTCTAAAACATCTGGTTGTAAAGACAGCACCAGGAGGTGCAACTAAGAAAAAAGCAAACTCCATTTCAGCTTTATGCTTCAGGTAAATGTGTGTCTCCATTTATCTTGCAGTTTGAGCTGTGAGAAAGCAAAAGACACCTTCATCAGTGGTTCCCACGTAACTCCTCTGAGCTGAAAGCGTTTCTCACATGGAAGTACAACTTAATCAGGAAGCATCTAGGGCCTTTACACATCAAAAGGTCATTCCACCAAAAATAAACATAAAGAGGCTGCCAGCTTAGTGAAAGTTTACTTCAAATGCCATCCAGAATTTGTCATCTATTTGTCAACTCTTCGTTTGCAACGAGAAAACACACACGTATCCCAAAATAAAATAAAATCTTCTGTTATGTCACACTGCTCCTATTTGATCATAGTCTAAACTCTGAAAAAAACATTGGATGTGATCCCACAGGGCTAACAGGAGCAAAATGTGATCTGACAAATCAGTGAGTGAAACACACAAATAGCCTGGTGCAGCTTTGCTTTCCTGAAGCTACAAAAAGACACTTTGAAGACCGTATCTCTGTCTTAACCAGAGCTGCTTTCAAAAGCAGGGATATTCACAGCCTCTTCATTTCTGTCATTAAACTGAGCAAAAATAACCTGGGAGAACATGAGGCCCTGGCCATCTTAACACAAGACATCTGCTTGATGAGCAGTGAAGGGAAGATGGATCAGGTCCCAGTATCCCTTTTGTTTGTCTGCAGCTCGGGTCACCTTAACCAGGGAAGTAAATTCCAATTCTCTTTTTCATACATAGTCCACTGAACATGAAGTTACAGGACTTTAGTTTCAACAGATTCTTGCCGGATGTACTGACAACTGCTATATTATTTTCCAAACCAACCCAGAAATCACATAGTTGCTCTAAGTTCGATCTGTTGAAAACCTCCCACCACTGGGACTACATAATTATTTTCTTAAGTCTGCTTATCACAGTTACTCCAGTTCAAGAGTTTATTGTACAAAAACCATGATGCAGAACTGGGTAAAAAACACCTTTATTTGCCTCTTCAGAACCAGAAGAGATCTTAGTCCAAACTGCTGACATGACCTAATTTTTTTCATGCATTTGTGTCCATTATGCATAATCACTCATCATTTTGGTTAATGATGATAAATAATGATTAATTTCTTTATGCTCCCATTGATTGTGCAGTTAAAATATAATTTCCTGTCACATGAATACACTGAGCTATGAATGTACAGCCTTGCATCAAAAACTCTCACAAAGATTTTGTTAGTCCTTTGTTATAAAAACAGGGATTCTGTGCAGAATTCACCTGGATGTTCCTTGACTCGTGAGCGTGTAAACCTGCAACCTGCAATTCTCTTACTGTATTCTCTTTTGGGAAACCTAGCTGCAGTCATGTTAGAGGAGAAAGAAAACTATGTAAGATACAGTTGTCTAGATGCTAGTAAACTACAGTATCCCACACTAAGTGAGTAAAAAGGCTCAGATACAAGAGTCTACCTCTCAAGCTGTATATTTCTCTACTGAGTACTATTGCCTGCTTGATATTACTGCAAACTCTCCTGCAAATCCTTCCGGGATGTTCAGACTTGGCTTTGCTCCCAGTGAAGATGATGGAGCTAAAAAGCACAATGAAACCTGCAGAACTTCAGTCTCAGATTCTCCTCCTGTTGGTTAAAGCAGTGGAGGGTAAAGGCGTAATACATCATTTTCAAAGCAAAAGTTTGTACCTAGTTCAGGATGGACTTCAGCTAACACAGATATGGAGCTACTGTTTTGCATGTAATTCCATGTTTTGATGTCTTGAAAAGAAGCTCATTAAACACAGACAGATGGAGCACGGTCACCTTCTCACAGGGGATAACCTTTACAAACACCATTAACACTACCGCTGTGGCTGAGTTTATCATCAGAAGGATTATTTGGTCACTTCTAGGCCCTCTCCCAAGCTCCTGTTAACATCTACACTGATGTGTAGCAGGGCTATTCCCATGCTGAGGCTGTAATGATAGGACAAGGGGTGATGAGTTCAAGCTGAAACAGGGGAAGTTCAGGTTGGATATACGGAAGAAGTTCTTTACTGTGAGGGTGGTGAG